GACTATTGACTACTGTTTAATGTTACGCGAGATACAGAACAGATTAGGAGGTATGGAAATAGATGAGGAAGGCACAAAAAGTCTAGGGAGCGACCATAAGAGAATCAAGATCAGATTTGGCAGAGTAAAACCAGAAATGAAAAATGAAAAACAAGAGGGTAGGAATAACTTAAATGATAAACAATTACAGGAGATATCTAAGCGAATCGAGGACATAGTATCCAAGCAACCGTCTGCTTCCTCCTCCCCGGCCTGAATTACCCTCTCCCTACCTTCTTGAGTTGCAACGGACTATAGTAAAAAATCTTATACATACAAGAAATGTCTTGGTTCAATAAACGCATATGATTAAATAAGATCATATCATGACGTAGCAAGATCCGTTACGTAGCCTCACTAAACATCGAAGCAGCGCCGCTCTTCGGATATACGCACAACCACTGATCTCTATAGAGATCAGTGACGCACACCGTTTAAAAAATCCTGCAACGCCTTTTTTTTCTTTTTTTATTTGGACCGAATTTGAGCGCACTGAACGTAGTAACTTAGTTAACTTTTTCTTTTCTCGCAATTCGCTTTCTCTTGAAAGTTATAGGCATATTAAAATTACAAAAACAGGAAAAAAATTACTTCTTCATGACGTTCTTGGTCCTCTGTCCCCCCTTTTCCCGCGCCCGCGGACCGCGGGGGCTGAGAAATCTGGGGAGGGAGGGGAAGACGGGGAAAGGAGGTGACGCCGAGGAGAGAGAACTGCCCGGGAACGGGGAACGGGTCAGCTCCCTCTTTTCGGCAGACGTCAGGACCAACAACGTCACGATTTCGTCACATGCCGCGCGCGTTGGACACCACGGGGCGTATCCGTAGGAGGAGGAGGTTTCCGCGTCGTCCGGTCAAAATATGACGCACTGATATTTAGTCGCTCTCTCCGTGCCCGCTGGGTTGCCCGAACCACAAGAGACGTGGAAACCTCAAAAAAGGTAGACGCTTCAAGGAGCTGTGCAACAATTTTAACGTTGAAAGAATTTGCAACTTCTACTTATGAAATTGTTTATCTTGTCACAAAGGACAGAATACACATATCCTTCCTTCGAAATGTTGCGAGTCCGCCGCGTAATCGCGAGGCAAAAAATATATTATTCGCCGACCTGCAACCGCGAGCGGCAGCCGTAAGGACCACGCGGCATGACGTCAATGGGGGACTTGTAAAAATATAGGAAGTTGTGCAAATACTTGCTCGATAAAAGGTAATTTTTCTATAAATTTTGCCGTTCCAGCATCAATATAAATCCGTCAAAAACCTAGTATCATCTACAAAACTTTTATTATACGGAGTTTTAGTGGCGCCATCTATCTGAGGTCAACAAAACCGTCAGCTCTCTCAGCTTCCGCGAACAGCTAGCCGCCAGAAGCCGGAGGGGGACGAGGGCAAAGCCGGATGGGGATGACCGGACCCGGACGAGACTTTCCTCCTTTCGCCATGTTGATCCCGCTGCGCCAAGCACGTGGTCACGTGGTCGCGAGCGGGTGAGTTTTCGCTGCTCACTGATGGCCCTAGAAAGGAAACTTCACCGGGACCCCGCGCGTCCCCCATTGACGTCACAGCGCACGTGACTCGGAAGATGGTGAAGGAGTTGAGAGAGAGGTGCCGAGAACCTCAATCTTTGTCCATTTTTAAAATAAAAACAAGGACATGCAGGCAAAAGCGTTTCTCCCCCTCTTTACTTCAAAAAGGTCGAGCCACCAACTCCCAAATTAATTAAGCAAAGCAATGAAATTGCTGCACAGCTACTTTAAATAGGATTGCAGGGCCCCTTTAAATCGATCATGAAACGATTTTTAAACTTTTTCCTTATTAGCTTTGCTCAACTCACAAATCGCGCACCCCCTTCTTGCTCGGACCCTCGTTTCTGTACCCGGACGCTGCCATTCTCCCCCTAGAAGATTAGCCCGTCAGTCACTCAAAACTCGGACAAAAGTTGCTTTGAAGGTAAACGTTTGGCAGCCCTCTGCCTGGTTAGGAATAGACATGAAGCGAAAAATAGGGACTCTAACCAAAAATTAATAAACATTCACCCGACGTTTCGGGACCAGTCCGGTCCCTTGTTCACGGGTGAGTGACGAATATAAAAGAAAATAAAAAGAAAAGTTGCTTTCCCCACCCTGTTCACCCCTAAGCTGACAGCGCTGTGGAAGCTACGTGCTCGTTGGGCCAGGTACACTTTTGCCACATGATCACGCTCCCTCGCGCATACCCACGCGCATATAATGCAGTCAGGTGATGAAGGGGGGCGGCTGATTGGTCCGGCCAACGTATATGCTTCCATCGCACTGTCAGCTTACGGGTGAACGAGATGGGGGAAGCAATTTTTGTCCGAGTTTTGAACGACGGGGGGTCACACGAACACGACGCGCGCAACGCTCGTCGCCCTACGGGTAGTTCGGTTGTAACGCGTTGACTAAAAGCTTAGCGTTTACGTCACCACAACGCCAGAAACGGTAAAGCTCATAGCCATGCCCGCCTTTCTACGTCACGAATGCTGTGAATCTTTTCTTTGCGCCGGATATCCCATGACGCATCGCGCTCTCCGTTTGCTTCTCTTCGAGCGCTTGCTCGAGTGCACCGTTTGGAACGAAAAATATAGCCAGTCGTTCAAAATACAAACGTACGATTATCATTTACGGTTCTTATCGCTTGACTCCTTTCCGTACGAAATTTATATACTTCAATTTTCGCTTCCGCACCCCCTTTAAAAGAACATATAAGAACAATATAAGATTATATACGAAGTTATAAGGAACTTCTTATCAGTTTCTTATAACTGCTTATATAATATTATATTGTTCTTATGTGTTCTTATAAGGTTCGTGTATGCTCTTTTATAACCTTATTTAATCATATACGTATATTTGACCAAGAGATTTCTTATATATATAAGATATTTTTACTAGGGCAGAGAGCTCTTTTTGCACAATCCTGCAAGGCTTCTAGCTTGTTTCAGAGTCGTCTGATAAGTCACCTTACATTACCTTGGAGATTACGACGGATTGAGTGAAGTGACGTGTTCGCATGCTCCAGCAGTGCGTCGGATGAGTTGAACTCCTTGTTACCACAAGTTCGTAAATGTTCGCAGTCATTGTGCCAAGTTGGGTTGCTCCCGATGTAGATTCAAAAGATCCTGTGTTCGTTGGGCTTCTCGACTGGTTTTTCATAGAAAGTGACTTGTGCGGCTTCGTTTTGACCTCTGCCCAGTGGCATGAATTTCGTCTCTTCCTGTGATGAACTTTGGCCAATTTTAATTATTTTTGGAGGGTGATTTGCTGCATGCCAAGGGGCCCAGGGAGATATCGTCTGCATATACTGTAAATTGAAGGCCTTCGGTGTCTTGTAACTTCCGTAGGAGTGAGGTCACCGCTAGGTTGAAGAGGTCTGGCAACAATACCGAGCCTTGCGGGACATCGATGTCGTTAGGGCGTTCCGAGCTCGGATTTGAGCCCACCTTTTCAAGCGATGGCCCTGCTATTACCACCCATACCATTGAACATACTTAAATTAGCTGCGGTGTATGTAAATAATATCTAACCTTAATAACATGCAATCGCAAATATCCGATTCAAAATCTCTGCTCTTTAATTAACACACTCTTGCAATAGATTGTTAAGATGGTTGTTCGCTTGTTTAATTGTATACGCTAGTTTTATCGAAACATCCAGTGTCAGTCTGTAAATTGTAGTTTCTCGGTGATATGCGACCTTCGGAGACACTGAGCTGAAGCCTGAAAGTTGTCCTTGTTCCCACGAACAAACATGCGCCACGTGCACTCACGGACAAAACCGCATAAATCACATGTCGTAAAATATATATACGCATGCCACGAAGATGGCAGGTCCTGCTAGAAAGAGACGAAGGCTTGTCGCGCCCGTGTTCAACATCGCCAGCTCGGGCAGAACAACCGAGTCGAACATCACGTGGAGGTAGTACCCCGACACAAGGGACATAACCGTTCCGAGGACCATGTAAGTGATCCAGTGCAAGATCTCCTTGCCGGTCGCCAGGCCGCCCATGATGCCAAGCGGAAGCGCTGACACGAAGAGCAAAGCGATCTTTGCCACCTTCATGGCACCGCACCCTGTTTGAAGAGCGAGGACGCCCATCACGCAAGCCATGATCAACTGGTGCACCAGCGTCGAAAAGTAGAGCTTCAGAGAACCGTACTGAGAACTGCCGATGCTGAAGCCTTCGACGAGGAAATGGATGCTCGATAGCAAGACGAGTTTCGTGTAAATTACGCTCGACAAAGGTCTTACGTTGTACGAGTGTCCTTTGTTCCCGATGACAAATCTTTCGACGGTGTTGGCGTGGCCCGAAGGCGGCCGCCAGAGTTCCACGTTGAAGAGTGACGAAGCGGTAGTCACCACGTACGCCAAAAGGACTCCCGATGCTATGATGGCGTCGCCCATCGGCTGTCCGAAGGCGAGGCCAGATCGGTAGACTAGCTTTCCGGAGTAAGGAACCATTCGAACGTACCAGTTAGTCAGGCCCATGCCCACAGAAACGCTGATCACGTCGTTCAGGATCCTCGAGATCCATAACTTGCTCATTTTGGGGGCCATGAGTTTGAGGAGCAAGTGTGGATAGGCGAACGCTGCCAGCACCAGAGTGAAGGCCAGCGTTATAGAAAGGGGGCTCAAGTAAATTGTTGTGAGCATGTTGGAGCACGTTCTCAACTGCTGTGGAACCTTTTACCTCTTCCAGAAACCTTCAACGCGCCACAGAGGGTTGCCCACGCGCGCACTACTACTGCGGGGACTTTGAAACCTTTCAAACTCCCGCCCATAATCCCATAATCACGTGCCCCCCTAGGTGTTAGCGGAACAAAAATTATTCGTGTTGTAGTCCGAGTGAAATGTATTCGAAGGAGGTGCCAACGGGTGTTAAGAGAATGCACGCAACAGCGGAAAACTAGAAATAAAACAAAATAGAAAGGAGACCGCTGATCAATGACATCCGCCACACTGGCATCACCAGGGCGGCGTCACGATCGCTGATGCTCGGCGACTTCCGGTTGGCGATTCAAAATGGCCGCCAGAAAGAGAACGCAAGAGGAGAAGAATTTAAAAACTCTTCGAGAACTCGCCGCTTTGCCAGCGAATAAGCAATGTTTCGACTGCCACCAGCGGGGGCCAACTTACATAAACATGACAGTAGGATCCTTCGTTTGTACGTCGTGCAGCGGAATCCTGTAAGTGCCGTTTTGTGACCCAGTGTCAGTTGTGAAGTATGCGTAGTTAGGGCTACATTTCGGCCCTGCTCTGTCGTGCCCTTCATTCATTTGCTGCTTCGTACCTTTTATTCAGCTCCGGGCCGAGTTCGGCAGCGATTTAGGTTGTTCGTGTTGCTAACGAGGTCCCAGCGCCGCGAATGTACGGGTCGGCCGCCGGCGTACTACGTGGGCCGTTTAATGACTAATTAGGAACGACCGTTTCCTCGACGCACTCATGTGCTAGTCTGCGCTCGTTACAGAGGCACATTGAATGCGCGACGCCGCCTAAGCGCGTGACATTTTAATGTTCAATATCATCCGAAGTGCCCTCGAACACAATGCGACTACTCAGCCGTAATCGTTGAGGTAGCTTGTATTCTTAAATCCAAAAGCTTCTCGTGAAATCGTTGCTAGGAGAAAAACTAAGCAAATAAAACCAACTTCGGCACATCTGGGATTGGCAAAAATAATATGAAATATGCGTATATGGCAAACGGACAGGCGGTGTCTACGTATCGAGTGCATGAAATTCCTTTCTTTTTTTCCTTTTTTTTTTTTCTTGTGAGTGTTACCAATATTTCGATTTCCGATCGATGACAGTTATCGCTCATAGACATTCCTCAGCCAGAATGCCTATCAGCTGTTTGAATTCCGGCACTGCGCAATCAGAGCAACGAGCCAAGTTCGCGTGTGAGGGATGTTGGCCGGTGCGCTCAATCGCACGCATAGAAAACCGTCCAAGCATTTTGTGATGACGCCCCGTGACACATGCACCTGGCTTGAAGGTGTGTGCGTATGTTCTCCATAGGTTAACATCTGAAAGTCTCAGAATAAAGCGTTAGGAAAAAAAAAAAGAAAGAAAACCTCGAGAGGAATTGGAATCCACACCTGTTTACGGTTAAGGAACTTAGATAAACGACTTTTTAAGAATGATCACTGTAATTTCGTCAAAACACACACTACAGCGCACACTGTAGTGTGTGTTAATATGAGCAACCAACTCGCGTGTTACTGAAATCACTGCTCGCATGTTGTCACACATTGTTCTGTTCAGTTTTGTTCTGTTTACCATGAACACAAACTGCTCTTGTGCTTAGCTTCAGCCAAAGGGATAGTGTAGATCGTTAGGTGACGAACTGCGACTAAGTGATGAAAATTTGAATGGAGCTGACTTTTGTGTGACTGATTGGATTTGAGCCCTTTACTGATGTTAGCATAATATAAATTGGTCCTGATTGGATTTGAGCCCTTTACTGATGTTGGCATAATATAAATTGGTCCTCATGTTGTCAAGAACAAAGAAGGTGCAATAGGTACAGAAGGTGCTATATCTGTGAAGTAGGTCACAATTCACTCTATCCTGGGCTTGTCATACAATGTGTGTCCCTAGCGCAAGTCACCATGACCTTTGTGCTCTGAGCTCTTAGAAAAGATTGTGAATGAGCAAGTATAGTTCTGGGCTAAAGCATGCAACTGAAGCTACTCTAGAAGATCTGAATCAGAACATTTATACTCATCACTGTCATAGGCAGTGTTGGAAAGTACTTCAGGTACATTGTACTTAAAGCACTACTTCAAGTAGGTTCAGGAAACTTGTACTTTACTTGAAGTACATTCTCTTACTATGTACTTGTACTTTGCTTGAAGTAATTTTTTCTGGTACTTTTCAAGGAAAGTACAATTCTCGACCTCAAAGTACATTCCCCAAATTTGGTTTGTTAAATTTGTATCATGAAATGATGCTCTGTCAACTTCGAAGAAAAACTGGGAGGGATATTCTACTCTCACTAGAAACGCAAGCAGACAATGCACCGCTACATTTGTTTTGGGGGCGGCTTTCCTGTAGGTTTTTGAACGCTCACTACTTCTCGGTCGGTCAGCACAAACCAAAGCAAAAAACGCATCGCTCCGTTTTTTGTTTTTTTTTGGAAAAGAAAGGGGCGGTTTTTTTTTTTTTTTTTTTTTTTTTTTAGATTTTTAATCTCTTTCTAGTTCTCAATCGGTCAGTACAAGCGAGGAGCTTAAAAATATTAGGGGAGCAAAATGAATCATATTGTAGCACTTGAGACTGTGGTGCGGAAAAATTAAACTTTCAGGTCGAAGAAAAAGACAACAGAGGAAAACGTCACAATGTTTTGAGACATTCTCTTTTGTCTTTACCTTCGACTTGAAAGTTGCCTAATTTTTTTCGCACCACCATCTCAGCTGTCACATTATGATTAATTATCACCAGCTCGCTTGCACACTTACTGTTTGTTTCATTAAGGAGAGGACACTCCTCTATGAGAGGATTGCTTGCGGAAGCTACGGGGCTGACGTCATGCTCACTCCTAGTACATTTAACCCCCTTGAGTGCAACAATCCAGTGCAAGCAGCACCAAATTCAGAAAAGGGACTTCCGAATTTGGCTGCATTTTTGAAAATAACTACTCTGTGGCCACTTGGCTTTATCAAATATTTGCTGCTGTTTTTGAAAATAGGGTCATGGACCCCTGATTACCCCTGGGCGATGCATATAAGTTAAAAAAATCACTGTTTAGGGGAATGAAAGGGCATCATGAAAGATTTGGTTAAAATACTTGTACTCTAATTTGAAAGTACATTGTATTTATAGTACTTTTTTTCAAGTACATTGCACCCAGTGTACTTACCATTTTATTTGAAGGACATCACGTTTCATTTACTTTGTACTCAAAGTACTTATTAAATATACTTTACCCAACACTGGTCACAGGGATCCATTAGGAATGGCATATCCATTATTAATAGAACTTTTATTTGGCAATTTTCACTGATGTAACACACCTCATAAAGTGCCTTTGAGGATTATTGACTGAACTGAATTTAATATTAATAAATATGCTTCTCTAGGACATGAACCAGTTTGACAGTTTGTCTTCTCTGCATGTAGGATCTACAAATATTACCCAGAAAACGGTCAAAGTTTTGCTTCGATTTTCAAAGAGTATTTTAGATGCTGTGGTCAATGCCAAAGGGCCCCTGAAAAGAAAAGTTATTTTTAAACAAACTAATTGGGACACACGTGTCAAAAAAGAAATTTTACGCGAAAAATTTTTTTTTAGCAATATTGACAGTGCGAGACGCGATTTAGTTGGCAATCACCTCCTTTCCACTTGCTTTCTCTCTCGGCATTTCAGGCACGTGGAGGAGAGGTGGAGTGGCCTCGCCCTTAGGTCCGAGATGGTCATTCCAGAATGACCAGTGACGTCATAGACTTCTTGCGCAGAATTTAAAATAAATCTCTCATCGTCAATATTGCTCTTATAAATTTTTTTATGCGTACAATTTATTTTTGACATGCGTGTCCCTTCCAAACTGCCAAAAAAAAATTTTTTTTTCTTTTTAGGAGCTTCTTAAAGTTATGTCTGTAAGGTCCCCGTATTGTGTGCTGGCATATGAAATGCACTTCGTCTGAGTTGAGTTTAGAATGCCTATAGAGGTAGAGTTGTTCTCTAATGGAGCATGGTAGCCAATACAATCGTCCTGGAGAAATTTTCGACAAAGGGCATCTGTTGATGGAGTGCACAGCCTAAAAAATTATATTTGAACATCTGTAAGCTCTGAAATGGAAGGTATGTTTTCTTGTTTTTTTCGACTGCTGTTACAGGAGATTGCTGCCGTTTGCTCATTTCTGTGTTTTCTTTTTCGTTTCTCTTTGGCCACCCAAGACGCGGCTTGAATCCCCCCCATCGTGTCAAATCCATCACCATGACGACATTCACACCAGAAGAAATAGAGCAAATAAAAAACAAGGGAAATGAGGTGAGTGTCAGTTTTATAACCTCAAGGTTATGGCACATTATTGTTTTGATAAATGAAAAAAAGAAAAAAAAATGAAATTTTTTTGTTTAGCGTGATACAATTTTTGCATGTGAAGAAACGTTGCAATTCAGAAACAAAAGGTTGTCTGCTTCAATATACAATGCAATTTTTATTGAAGCAGAAAGCCTAGAATGCACGCATATTTCACTTTGATTTCTGAAGCTTTTTCAATAGAACGTAAATTTTCTATCCCTTTGGTTATTCGAAAAAAGGTAATATTTACAGGAAAGTTCCTTCTCTGGAGGAAGTAGCGTGGTTTTCTGGTTAAGATGGGTAGCCAATCAAACTTGGGATCAGGTAAATTTTCTCTAGAGAATTATCCCCAGAGAATTATCCCCATATTGGCGGCCTGGGTATGTTTGAGTTTAGAGGGGTTACATACAAAAATGTAAATCTCTTGTCGCTGCCAACTTCAATTACAAGTATTCTTGATTCCTGTTGGGTTAAAACCATTTTGCTGTTTGAACTCGTATAAAACATTGCAACGCCAGATACATTCTCATACTGGATGAGGACAATTGCTTTTAATTTTGACAAAAATAAAATAAAAATATTTGACAAAAATAAAAAAAACAGTGCAACACCAGATAATTTTGTACCGAATGAGGTAATTTTTTTTCTGGTCTTAATTTTGACGAACAGTAATATAAACCTGTCCGAACTTAAATAATGCATTGCAATACTGCATACAGTTTCATACCGAATCAGGTAGTTTTTGACAAAATTGTAAAATTAAACTGTCTTTTTTTCAAATATTTGCTGACACCTGGGTGCACATCTGGGTTCGAGATTGAGTGGCTAGAAAACTATGCACTCGCATGCTTTTCATATCCGCTCGACCACACTCTTTGAATGCATTCTTACCCAAAAACATCAGCTACATCTTGTAGGCTCTTTGGGATGCTTTGACCTAGATATGGCTTCTCCAAACATGGCTTTTTTTCCCTATTGTGGATTACCTTTTGCCTGTAGGAAGAAGCAATCTTCCCCCTCTGCTTGGCCTGTAGAAAGAGAGGGAAGGCACCAAATTTATTTACTCTCAAACCCATATTTCCAAAAAAGGTTCATTAAACATGTTGAAACTATACGTAAAGTTTGATACCGAAAAGGTAGTTTTGTGTCTATTTAGAAGGTTTATACGTTGCATGGTGTGTTTATCTTGTTTTTGACAATGCCCTTGTGTGCACAGTTATCACATTCAAGCAGGCAACAAAACCTAGTCGCATGTTAGTAGCAAACATAATGTTTGTTTAATCTGAACCGAGCAAAATATTGTTAATTGAAGGCTAAACGTGGGATCTTCGTGTATACACATAACGCTGTCACGCTACCATTCAAGGTTTGTGCAGTAATTGGCAAAACTGCTTCCAAAAATGAGCAGAGAGCAGAAGTTCTATACCTCACTGATAGCAGCAGGTCATTGTAACGCCGACGGTATTTTGTGCTTTCCGGCTAATACAAGTCTTATCTTTGCCCTGCATAGTTTCACAAGCTTTTCCCATTGTTTCCGCTCTCAATGGGGTATCTGCATACTTTCGCTTCATCGGCCTTGCCACCAGGCAGTCAGGCCAGCTGCCAACCGCAAGATAAAATTAGTTGCACTTTAACTGAGTGGCCTAGTGCTTTCCGAGGAGACTGAGTCGGCACGTGTCGTTTCTAGCCAGCTCGGTGGCTCCGAGACAAAGTGTCGGCCTGCGATTACCCAGTCGGCAGGTTCGAATCCTAGCCAAAGTGCTCACACTTTGACGGAGGTTTATTGCGGAAAACACGCCGGGAAACTGAGATATTGTTTGCATCCCAAAACGTCCCCCCAGGTGGTTGAAATCATTCCCTTCGTTGGTTTGGCACGCAAAATTCCCAAACTTGACCTTTGTCCGTCGTGTTCGTCGTCTGTTCAGTACTGCAAGTACGTCTGGCTGGGCCTGTACGACTCGCGGTGCCCGATGGAGCCGGACTCGAGGGACGAGCAACGCACGAGAGACCTGATGATCCAGAAGTATGAGCGCAAGCGCTGGTACGTCGACCCCGAGATCGCCATGCAGAAGATGAACGCCGAACGCCAGCAGAGCAGGGTTGTCCAGTCTCCGGTCGGCAACAGCGTGGCCCCCAACAGCGTGGTTTCCAACAACGTGGTAGCCAACAACATCGTCGCAGCCAATAACTTGGTCCACTCCAATTCGGCCGTGCCGGACACGAAGCCCCTTTCAAGTCTTTTGGGCAAGAACAGCCTGCCTCTAGTCATTCACAAGTCACAGGTGCATTCTACTTTGTCGTCTGGTTGCAGTTGTGCCCCGTCTGCAACGTCGTGCGAAATTCTGGCACGAGCGCGTGGCTTTAGCTATACTCCGTTCACCCCCAAAGCTGATGGTGCGGCGGAAGCTACATGCTTGTTGAACCTGTCATACATTTTATTTTTCGTCGCATGATCACGGTCCCGCCCACACCCACGCACAGGCAGCAAGGTCAGGTGATAAAAGGGAGGCGATTGATCGGTCTGGAGAGCGCGTAGCTCCCACTGCACTGTCGGCTTAGGAGTGAACAGAGTATAAGGATGCGCTTGCGAGACAGCTTGCACAAATAAGGTGTTAAGTGTATAGGTGCAACAAAGTTAGCGGGAATATGGGACCAGTGTATTTCTGCAATGTGCTCGAAGTGCATTGATGAAGACGAAATTTTGCTGCCTAATTGGTGTCGAAGATGAGTACATTCCACTGCGCTATTGGTTTTGGTGACGGACTTGCAAGTCTACAAAACTACAAAAATAACTACAAAAACTGACTGTTGTTTGTTTCCTCTGTGTTGTGCCATGTCAATGTTTGCATCAGCACTTTTTGCAGTGTCGTATGTTGTGTATGAAATGGATTATAGTGTTGCTTATAATCCTCAACAAAGGCCAGCTGCTGCACAGTTTTTGCTTGAGACGAGGGATTTGTTTTATAGTCTTGGCTCAAATTTCTTAATGTAATCATGCTAGGGCTGCTCAGAAGTAAAATATCCCTCAGAACAATTGGCAAGTGAATAGTCACAGACACCTGCACATTACATTCCTTTCCATGCAATGCACTCGTATTTCACTGATGTGACGGTGTAACACCTCGTTACACGGGTATGTTTAACTCAATCAAAACAGTTGCAGTCTGCAAGTGGCCGTGCCGCGAGTCATATCGTTCGCTGTCATTGACAGGAGGTTCCAGAAAACCACCGCACGGCCCACTTTTGCCAGATCACGAGTCAAAAAAGCTTTATAGTTACGTCTTGAAACGACGCGGTTTTATCTTTTCGCGGTAGGGCAGCTAATCTCTCGTGGAAGCCGTGCGTGACCGTTTCATTGCCTACCACCCTGGTCTTCTTTTATCGTTGCTTACTGACAAATGCAAGTTGAACGTTGGGAGATCAGCACCTATGGGGATGGTTCGCACAGATGCGTTTGAGTGCACTCGACCGCATTATAACAGCTTGTGGCCGCTTATAAAAGGAGAACACTGGCGCCACCTACTGGCTAGCCCAGAAACATTTTTGATCTGCATATATTTTATGCATTCTTCTTTTTCACCGTGTGCTTGAAATAATTCTGACAGTATTACGAGAGATAATTTCTCATAGGCGGCGAAGAGATTTGATTTAGCAAATACTGCAAAACCTTCAGTCTGCTTGTACGCAGACAAGTGTTCTAAGGCCACTTGATAGATGATGCCAATATCTGAGTGTGCTCCCTCCTCATAGACCGTCACAAGCGCTCGCAATGCGGTTAATCACGCTCAAATGCAAACATGTAAGCCAGGCTCTAGTGTGGATCTTGCGCAAATAAATAAAGCTTTTTGTAGAGTCTGCTTAACATTTTTTTGTCATGCTTCGTGTTGCCCAACAGCCTTCCACTCCAAGCTCGGCGACGTGGCCAACGCCAATCTCGTCTGCGGCCGCCACGACCACTGGCAGCCAGCCACTGTTCAAGTCCAACGTAGACATTTTCGGAGCTTTTGGAGGGGACCCCTTCAGCTCTGGCTCCGTCGGATCAACCCCCACAGGTAGTGCTGTCCACCGTTCTGTCAGACTGCATTCGGTTCGTCGTAAAGACACCGCCAAATGTTCCCGAGTGTGTGACGTTCCATAGCATCGGTTGCTTGTACAGACCGTTCACAAAGTATCCACATTCGCACTGCTGACGTTGTGGTCCTGCATTGCCTCGCATTGTTGCCACACTTTTTACACGTGAGCAGGGTGTGATGTAGCTAAATCGAATGTGCCTAGTGTTAGGCATTCTGATATAATTTATGAAGCTTGATGTCTCGCTTTTTTTTTTTTTTAGTGATAAACATGCTTCATTTTGCTTCTAGCCTTGCTGTCCTCATTGGTGCATTTTTAGCCGCTTGCGTCACAGATTGTTGTTGCTTGAGCATTCCCAGAAAGTGTAAAAAGTCCAATGTTACAACTTGAGCTCGTGTTATGGTGCTAATTCATTTATGTGCGTACAGTAACGGGAAATGTTTTTTTTTTTTTTCTTTCCACTCCTGTAACCACCCTGACCAGGGTGAACAGTGTTGATGACTAATATAAATAAATAAATGAGCACCTCATTCATGGATGTGAGTATGTGATCCTGTCAAGAAGCTGCCTAAGCAAGTTTCACCATGATGCCCTTTCTCTTACGATGCCATTACATATTAAGGAGTGGAAGCTTAGGAAACCTGGTACTGCAGGTATGCTGAGGGCTTTAGGGACTAAGACCAAATACACAATGTTCCAAAAATCCTCAATTTGGATTGGAAGATAATTTATTTTATTTCTGCCACCGTAAAAAAGATAAAGCTTGATGGCAAGTTTGCTAGGATGAAACACAAATGGCTGATATCACGTGGTAAGACTTAAAATCTTGTAAAGGCTAGAGTGACTCGAATAAACGAAGGAGGGTGCCATATGGTCCAAAATGTCATACCGTTTTTGAATGTCGACCTGTGTTGTTTGAGGTTTGAGTAACTGGCCAAATTTAATTATGAGAAACATCTCGATTGAAGAAGCACAATTGAATCAACATTTTTTTCTTTCATTCTCGCAGTTCCTGCAAAAGCATCCCCATTCTCTGCAAATGGAAACTTTGCCAACTTTGACAGCGTCTTCTCAGGTGAGATATCTGCCTCTTGAGACGAGCTACTCTGCCCCCACATCTATACTGTGTTTTAGTGCTCTTCTTCACACTGTTGAAACTGAACCAAAGCATAAAAACGTGTGGCAACGTTTCTCTTATAATACGCGGCAGCCTACCGTAAAATACCTAGCGAGCGCCCACTCAAGATTGGGAGATGGTCGTGGAAAACTGGGGGGACGGGCACTTGCTAGGTCCAAGAGCGAAAATGCAGAAGGCGCATACAGCCGGGTGGGCCCTTGCTCTGTTCGAGCATTGGACTCAGAATGGCCGTCGTTCGAAGAGTAAGCCGAGCACTTCAAAACAGAACTTTAACATTGTTTTCGCCGACGAAAAAGTGCCATGCGACACTCAACGGAGTTTACGGGTTGGCGGCACTTGGCATAAAAGCTGGCACAACCCTGCCTAGGCCTAACCCCTTTCCTGGTTTCACCATTTGAAAACGGACCACAGGCCACAGCATGTTTGTTGATGTCAGTGTGGAGAGCAAGTTGTCTGCTTCTTGCGCAGGGATTGCGGTGGTGTCAGAACGACGCTGAGCTTTGATTGAAAGGATAGTGGGCAGACCTCAATGCTAGATGCCTTCAGGTTTACTTACTATTTTGTTCAATTTAGCCAATAAGAGCTCGGCGTTTTGACATCATCGCAACCCCTGTGCAAGAAGCAAACGAACTTGCGCTCCGCATATATCTGATGGACGAAATGTGTTCGAGGGCCGGGCAATTCCTTAAAAGGGTACTTTGGTGATTTTTTTGTGGTCATCGATTTGCCTCAAAAGTTCCTAAACGGACCAACAAACATACCTAGCTGAAATAGTAATCCAAATATTGGGTCGAATTAAGTTTTTTTCACAAAGTTATTGAATTTACAAGTTTGGTCCTGACCGCATTTTTTTAAAATGAAAGCCTCCTCTGGCAACAACGAAAAAGTGACGTCAGTGAAAGCCTCTACTTGTAATAATGAAAAAGTGACATCAGTGGAAGGCAGGAGTTCACTCTTTTGACTGTAGATTTGGTTCCTAACTGATTAAAAGCAGTTTCATGGTGTCAAATGAATGCTCTGGATGCTCACTCCAGCACCCGCGCAGCAGCACGAAACAAATGCTCGGCATACTCAATTTTTAGACTGGCTGCCTGACCTGTATGCCTGCCTTCCCCTAATGTCACTGCACTGAAAAGCAGGGGTATATTTGAGCGTTGGTTTTGGCATCTTTTTCACTTGCCGATTTCACAATAACTATTCTGAATTTCGCAATACTAAATAGCATACGAAAAAGGGTAATGGCCAATGATTCCGAAAATATAGTAGTTGGGGTAGCTCAAAAATTTGCCAGAGTGCCCCCTTTAAAAGCACAGGGTAAGGGGGAAAAAAATTCCATTTTAGTTTTTTCGCAATTTGAAAAGTTTATATTTTTCTCTGCATTTTCCTTTGTCACACTTTTTTTAGAAAGTCATATTTCGGGCTGAAAAAATCTTTTAAGGCAAAAGCCATAGTTGTCCCATTGCACGAAAAAGCGGCGTCCTTGTGCCTAAAAGATGGCCATAAAAATATGTCATGAGCACGTGCCGCTCAAACATATACTCAAGGACGATGCCGTCCTTGAGGTCGTCCTAGAGGTCATCCTAGACGTTGTCCTCTAGGCATCATTCTAGACGTCGTTCTCTAGGTGTCGTCATTGAGGTCGTTCTAGAGGTTGTAGACGTCATTCTTCGTGTCGTCCTAGAGGTTGTATAGACGTCTTCTAAACGTTGTTCTCGACGTCATCCTTAAGGTCCTCCTAGATGCCTTACTTGGCTTCGATATCCAGGACGTCGTCCTCGACATACTAGACTTTAATACGAATGGAAATATTACTCGAAAACATTTCTTCCGTGGGACTATAATGCCTTCGCTTTCCTACACGTAAGCAGTCTCAAGTGTACTCCTGTAATTTTGTCCGAAAGCAAGTAGCGGGTGACCACGCCCCTTTTGAAGATACACTCCCCATTAATCGATAAATTTTCCAACAATAAAAATTAATACCAGATTTAAAAGCATCCCTGGAATGAGCTACCTTTTAAAAATGATCTTTTAACTACAGTAAAACCTCGTTATAACAAAATGGGATATAACAAACTAATGCAAAGCAATCATAATTCCCCTTGCTTGCTAATAGTGGGAAGAAATGGACATTGGCTATAACAAACTAATGGTTATAACGAAAGAATTGCGATCGCTCCTTCAACTTTGTTATAACGAGGTTTTACTGTATTGCAAAGCTCTTTTTGAACCAAGACAATCCCAAGACGCTGTGCATGTTTTTTCCGTGTAGTATACTTTCATGCGCCTGTGTTTTTGAACGACAAAATGGCGACATTGGATGCTGTTCTTTCATTCAATGGTGGTAGCATCGCATGAGCCAATATTTTGAAGTCCTATGAATTAAACCCTGGGTGAAACACCATGAAGTGGCTGAGGGAAATTTACGTCGCTTAAATACTTTGTGGACCGAACAACACGACGGGTCACAAAAGAGGCCCCGGCAAGCAAGGCGACAAGCCGAAAAGCGAAGAAATGACTAGCAATGACTACCAAGCTGGTGGCCGTTGAAGAAATACCTCTGAGGATGTTGGTGCCTATAACAATGTTATTCACCTGTATTTTTACTTTAAAATCATTTATTTCAAAATAATGTTTTTCAGCACATACTACGTACCATTATTTCCTTAACCTGCCAAAATAGAGGGCCGATTTTTTATTTTTGTTAACACGTCACGGGGCGTCTGTCATTGCGCCAAATGCGAGGCTTGGAGAAATTGGCTGTCATCTGCTGGCCAAGAGTTGTCTGCTGCAAAAGCAACCAACTTCGGATGACCGTCCATTGCTGCAACATTGTCGTCTGCTAGAATAGCGAGCTCTTCGGTAAAAGTTCATAAGACAAGCATACACTCAATTTACCTGCGAACCTGTGACGGGTGCTAATGCCAGGGCCCAGTGCGATGTTTGGGCAGAAGCGGCCAAATACACGGCTGCGATTCGCAGCGGCCACGGCGCTACAAGGAGAAAAAAAATCGGGAGTGGATACGGATGTGGCAGCACTTTTTTTGGTTTAAATTAAATTGAAATTCATAAATATGTGATTATTTATTCCCTATTTTTCAAATCTTCTCGATAGAGATGGAATCTCACGACTTCAGTTGCGTTAAAAGAAAAAGAAGCCTAGAACTGCTTTTTGTCGCGGGAGGAGTTGTTGCTGTAGGGTAACGAAGCCCTTGTGGCCACAACAACGTAGTGTTATCACCTACCTTGCTCCGACGATCTCAGTTGGGTCGCTGGGGCCACAGGCTCCACAGTTCGCCAAGTCACTGTGAGACTGAGCATAATCTTCGTCGCTAAAGCCGCTTTGTCCGTGCCATGTCCATGCCGTCCGCTGGTCACGGAGATAATGGCCACCTCGGCGACGGGGCGCTCGATGCGTCTCTCATATTTTTGGAACTTGCTTAAAATAGGAGAGTGGGCGCTCAACGTGTCCTTCAATGATTTGTTAAATTTCTCAAAAGTAGGCGCCTATAGCGACATGGGTACACCCTCGGTATTTTAGGGTAGTTATGTTGTCTGAAACGTCTCGCCAAGCGGCGCGTTCACCGTTTGTCTGTGATTCCTCGATTTCCACCCGATGATGTCGCACTTGCGTCATGCTGTTGCCTACCACAGTCCTTCCTGGAGGTGGCACAGTGGCAAAAGGTGGATGGGACAGACACCCATTTTGCCATAGTTCACTCTCCAGTTCGACAGTCCACGGAAGCTTCGGCAGGAAGGAGTTGGGCCACCGCAGTGACGGCGACACTTGCATTCGCTCATCTTTTTTGCCCAAATTTTTACGACTAACCGCCGGGATTGCGACATCTGACGGTAGAACCGGCCGTTCCTGTAAGATAATTTGTGGCCACTTTGGGACCGCTTCCGTCGTATGGGCGGTATGGGACGTTGAGCGCGCCAATCAAAGACGTGCTCCAGGTCCCGTAGCCTAGTGGCATCTGTTAAAAGTCAAACGGGCCTTTTCTTCCAGCCAATGCAGAACCGCAGCCTTGTACACCCCCCGTTGCCAACAGCAGCAGCAACCACAATCACATGCCCGTGACAGAAGGCGGCGGATTCGTCGCGGCCTTTCCACCAATCTCGCAGCCGCCGGCCACAGCCACGAGCCTAGCCGTGGCCTCTCCCGTGACGGGGGCGTCGGGAGATCCCCCACAGACTAAGGTGCCCTCAGCGGACCGCTACGCGGCGCTAGCCGACCTGGACAACCTGTTCCATCAGGAGACTCCCTCCCAGCCGCAGCCACAGCCTCAGCCCCAGCCGCAACAGCAGCCGCTGCCGCAGCCAACGTACGGTGCCGCGACATCTGCCTTCGGGGCCCCGCCTGGTGAGTGAACTGCCTGCTCGGTGAACAGGGGTAATCCACCTTGTTTGGAAGGACTCGTGCCTCTTGTCAAAGACCCGGTTCGAGGATTTTTTGTAGGAAACTAGAGGAAATGAGGGGTGTTATTAGGAAGAAGCAAGGAGAAGCTTCTGTGTAAGAACTTGGTGGTGAAAGATGATCCGTAATGGGCCCAGAAGCAATGTTTAGTAGCTCGGCGCAGGCTGCCGTTGCTCGGTAGAGCCAACGAGTTTGATCTAGCTTTATGGCTCGAAGGAACGTTTGCACTTTCTCATCACGCTCGTGCAAGTTCTTACCGAAAAACTTTCAAACCAGAAATTCTGAAAATGGTAGATGTAGATTTTATTTCAATATGCAATATATAAGGACCATTTAAGTTGACAGTTTTCTTTTCAATGCACCCTCTGGGCTGGTCTTTCCTCTTGACATTCCTCAATGCCTTTCGACGCAGCATCTGCGACCTCGAACCCGTTTGCCGCACCTGCTCCAGTCTGGGGCATGGGCCAGCCACAGCCCCAGCCGTCCCAAAACTCGGCCTTTGGGACTCCAAACCCTTTCGAAGGCATGGCACCAGCAGCCATGGGTGGAGTCTTTGGAGGCCTGGACAACGGCACGGGGTTCGTACTCTTGCCTGATTGACCTCGAAAGACAGTCGACTTTCGAGTGGCCTTAGAAACCCTCATATAAGAAAGTGTAGGCTGGTTCACACGGCCCCGTTTTCTTATGTTGTGTTACATTACGGAAGCTGACATCTGCTTACGTCGAGAGTCGCTGGAAGATCGCTTTTCACAAAGCGTGGTAACCAATTGAAGGAGTAGTTTTGCACGTGACATACGAAGCACGGAAGTCTCGGCGACATGTAATGTAACATAAGAAGACATAAGTTAACAGCCCTGTGTGAATGGGCCTTATGTCTGTGCCAGGGTAAAGCAGGGGGCACATGAGAGATGAAAACGGGCGCCGCGCGGTAGTATCATAGCAACCAGTGGTGGCGTCCCTAAGTCACTTTTGCGCGGTGCGGCATCGCTCGTATCTGATAGATACAGATAAAGCCGCGCAGTGCGCCTGTGGCGCGCGGCACCCAGTTTCACCGCTCATGTGTTTCATGCTTAACATCTGCTATGGTTGTGACCATGAAGCTCCAGTGTTATCTGTTGTGTCAATTAAAGGCTGTTTCTTGTTTCTGACATACGAGTTTCAATGTGACCGACCACGTTACGACTTGCATTCCACTGCAACGCGTTGCATGGACGTTGGGTTGTCGTAGCAACTGCATCGTCACAAGCAGTCTTAGTGCATTGGGTCGTAATCAAACGGAGATGTCTGAACCAACGTTTAGAAGCTATAGACCAACAGACTGTTTACAAACTAGCCCGCATTTGCCCACACCAGGTGTGGGCACTGCACGGGTGCAGAAACCACATTCGTGTGAGGTGAAGTTCCTGCGCGTGTGCCATGGCGACACCAACGCCACCGCAGAGGCGCAATGTCAGAGCCACGTAGTGCCCCCTTGGGGAAGTTTATAAACCTCTCACTGTACTTGTCATGAGTACGTCAAAATAAATTTGAACAGCAATGGAGGCTTCATTCGACGCAGATGTTTCGGGAAGAGGCTTCCTTTTTTTAAGATTGAACACACTATGGTCTGTTGCAACTCTAGATCAGCAGCAGGTGCTCTGCCTCCAGCACGAGCTCTCTACCTTCCGCAACAGTTTGGCGCACGTGAAACCAGACACACCGGAAGGCAATGAGCACTTGCTCTAGGCAGAGCATCTATACTGCCAATCTTACGTTCGAGCAGACTATACAGTTGCAGAATGTTTTGCTCTGCAACTGTTGTTCAAATTTCTCTGAATGCTTATAATTTTATTGATAAAAATTACCTACCGTAAAATACCGGGCAAGCGCCCACTCAATATTTAGAGATAATTGCAGAAAAACGGGGGATGTGTACTTGTCCGGTCATAAATTTTACACATAAATGTACTGTAGATATTTTCTGAGATCTTAGAAATTTGGATACAGGCGCTTAATGTGGAATGGGCGGATGCACGGTATTCTACGGTATATAAACATAAAAAAATGCGTGAACTCTGCAGCAGCAGCATGGTCCCGGCAGCTCCCATGGGGGGCGTGTTCGGCACCGGAGCCCCACCCAACGGCTATGCCATGGCCCCGCCAGCGGTGGCGCAGCAGAAGGGGGTGTACCCCGGCTGGGGTGTGGCCTCGCCCCCTGGGGGAGTGGTCTCTCCGCCCGGTGGAGTCAATGCCTGGGGCAAGGTGGGCAGTGCCATGAGCCACGACTGGTCCCAGATGGCTGCGCCGGCTCCGGTCAATCCCTTCCTGGTGCGTGATATTTTTGAATTGAATGCAATGGTTTGACCTTCCGTGTCGGTCAGTCACAGTGTTGCTAGATGTCATCGCGGAAATCTGCAGGCTTGTTTCTTGGCAAGTTGGCTGGTTTCATATGGTTGAGAAAAATGTCGAAATGGTGCGAAGTCTGGATTGAAAAGCGACAAGCATGGTGTAGAGGGCGCTAATGTAGCGACCGAATTGTATCTAAATTGTGTTGCCCCCTTTCGGCGATGATTGTATTTATAAAAGCCGTGCATAATAAATGGGGGGCTTTTTTTGACCGATGCACTTGGCTGGCGGGCTCCTTGCCTTTGGTCGCCCCAAGTACGAGCGGCCTCGGACTTTCGGGCGCTCTCGCGCCTCGCGCCTCACTATTACGTGACGTGGTGCCCTTACATTGTGGAAGTAGTAGTCTGTGCCCTGGTTTGCGAGCTGCGTTATTTAGTAATACTTATTTAATGCGCATTCTTTAATAATGACAAGCACAGACGTGAAACAGACTTGCGAACAATCCTGATGCTAAATGTCTTCAGTGATTGTTTTTCTTAGCTCCCAGACAAAAATAAAATAAATAGAAAACTGAATTTTCTTTTTATGTTGCAAATGCAGGCACACTAAAATTCAAAGCCCGATATTTGAATCCTAGGTATATACAAAATGTGTGCACAGGGCAAGTAGCAAAACGGCATTTCTGCCATTTTATGCGCACCCCGGGTTGTCTGCCCGTACATATATGTCATCATCTCCTTTTCAGGTTATTTTCGTATTGCCAAAAAGTTTTCTCAAATATCACTTTTGATGGTATCAAGATAGTGAACCGAGAGGCAACTATTGGATAGTCGACTATCGATGGTACTATTGACAAGACCTAACTCTCAGTGTCCGTCTACTAGTGATGCAAAACTATTGATAGTGCACCATCGATAGTTGTCGACACTATCGGTAGTTTTTTATAGTTTAGAACCACAAACAGGGATTATGTCTTTTGCCCTTACAAAACGTAGTGTCCAAGTGTGCTGGTCCATGTTCTGACCTTGAGGTTTTCTGCTGTTGTGACCAATATGTTTATTACTCATGATAAAGCCTGTAGCTGATCAAGTCTTGTCTCTCTCCCCATCAGGTAGCCGTAAGGGCAACATACCCTTGCAGTTTCACAGCCCTGCAAGAAGTTTACATCAGTCCCAGAGTGCCTCACACTATATGTGGACTTATTTTTGCAGTTACATGTTCAAAGGGTCAGTAGGCATAGTACTACTATTCATTGCCTCCACTTAGTTCCCTTTCCTCAGAAAATGCTGTTCGGGATCAGCAACATCACTGAATTTAGATACGGCTCCTGAAATGAGAACCAGTCGCCTACAAAGTGGAGCATTTAATTAGTATTTGCCTGGGAGTACTCTTCTGCATCAGCAAAAGCACATTCTAAAAGGAAGGTTAGAGACACTGTAGAAAAATGCCGATACGCTCGTTCGCTATAGTTGGTTTCAGGTTAGGAAGTTGGGATATGCCTTTTTCTCGAGTGCCTCGTTGCCTACTGCCAAGCTCTGCACGCGACGAAGTGTTTTTAAAGACGGAAAGTTTGTGCTCAAGGCAGAGCATCTGCTGTGTTCTTAACCTGTATCCGACTATATAATATTGCACTTTCTCTCCGACAAGTTCTAAAGGTTGCCCTCAGTTTTAAGAGTGCAGATTTTAACATTCATATTGCTTTGCGGCGCTTGTTGCAGGGCGGCCAAATGCCAAGGACGAACTCCAGCAACCCATTCCTCTGATAGCAGGCACCGAAACAAGTCGCTCGACCGTGGGGCGGCGTTGGGGGAACAGCCGGGGGACTACGGACGAGGAGGCTTTTTTTGTTCCAGCGTCAACCGCGCTTAGGTTTTTGCCTGCAATTGATCTTCTCGCCCTAGAGGACGGTTTCGATGTCGTCGCTCTCTCAGCAGTGATCTTTCTCCCACCTTCTTCTCTTCTCCGCCCTTCTTTTTCTCCTCTTTTTGTAAAAGAAGCGCTGCGTCTTTGTCTAGTCTCGTTTTCTCGTCGCGCGAGGAAGAAGAAACATGTTCAGAGCTCGGAGGGAAGTAAAAAGAAAAACACGAGTCAAAGCAGTTTTCAGGTTTTTTTTTTCTTCCGCTCTCTTCCTCTTTCTGGCGAGTGTTGTTACGCTTGTTCCCGCCCGTTCTCTACAACGGCGGGAAGCCACATTGGAGTGCTTTTTGCGCAAAGTTTACATCCTTTTTTTTTTTTTTTAACCGACTTTAACTTGTTACCTGGTACATAACGTGTTTAGAATGCCAGCTTTTTCGTATTGCCAGCGAGATTGACGTTGTTGAAGATGGCGGTTTTACCGAAAAACAAACATCATCTCCCCGTGGGCTTTGACATGTCCAAGGGGAAACATTTTAAGGATGGGGGGAGAGGGAGGAATGTCAACAGTGGTTGTGAGCTAGAGGGGTTCTCTTTTTCTCTTTTCTAAGTGCATCTTTTGCTCCCTTCGCAACCACTGGTAACCCAACACGAGAGTGGTCGTTACTTGAGAACGTCTTATCGCAGCGTTGACTTCGTGGTCGCCAAATTTTTTTTATTGAGCCGTAGAAAAGAACTAATTGTGGGGCATTATTATTATTACTGTAGGCACGTTTTAAGTATCTCGTTTTCTTTTTTGTCTGGAAGCATTGCGTTCTTGACACAGTAAACTGCGGTTTTTCTCGAGGTAGGCAAAGACTGCATTGACGAAATTCCAACGAGGCACACAGTACGACTTTTTGAACTGGGATAACGGTTAATTTTTTTTTTTTTTTTTACTACTAATCTAACACAGGCTGCACTTGGTGCTTTGTCTAGTGCGACGCGTGGGGAAGGACCAGATTTCTTTTGCTGTGTCGAGAACTTCGTCCAAATTGTGCTTCCAGTTTGAGCGTTTACGTTGGCTGCGTTCTGCCCGTATAGTAAAAGAGCTGGTCTCGTGCATCCATCTGTTCATCTGTTTTTGGTCTCCGAGCGGGGACGTCTTCGAGGCCAGCGATGCAAGCGTTGTAGCGGGTAGTGTCGCACAGATCCCGAGGTATCGAAAGTGAGTAAAGAATACCAAGTTGTGTGTACATACAATAAAAAAAAAGAAAAGAAGGCTTTAAGAGCATGTAGCATGTGTTATATGCCACTATTCCAAAAATTGTTTATTACAAGCAGTTTTTTTTTTTGTTTTTTTTGCGTCTTTGCAATAAATAGTGTAGCATGCTTTCGTAAACCAGCGTCATTTTTCCCCAAGTGCCTACGAACTATGCACGCCAAACACGTGCGAGAGCACAATTCAAACATATATTTCTGGTCTTTAATGGCATTTAATGGACTGATCTTGCGAAGCATTTTGCACATGCACGGAACCGCCATAGCTTTAGTTCACAAGAGACTGGCGGCAGTGCCGGATACTTCTCGGGCTCTGCACGCGCACAGCTCTAGCGAGGTTGTCGCATTTGTAGAAAGACTAAAGTTATCTCGATACATTGCGGTCGTGTAGCCAAACTGGCTGGTGAGATTGGTCTATTGAATAAAAGTCTGCTGAATGCAGAGAATGATATGGAAAGTATGCCTTATATTCACAGAGGGCTTGGCTAACTCTGGTAAATTGCAATAGGGTCTGTTGTTGCATGTGCAGCAGGTTATCGACAGGGAGTCTATCTGTGCTCAATACAACGACATGAGCCGCCGCTAGCAATGCAAAGCTCTTGCGAACAGTCTACAAAACGTCCTTAATGCTTTTGAATAGCTGTCGGTGATGGAAGTGCTGCGCCAAATTGCGCCATGAGCGAATAGAGAGTTTTAGTAATATGTATAGGGGCAAACGCAAACCCCCTACGTTAGCGTTAACGTTGCGTTTACGGAACGTTATGGAGCGCGTCGAATACGCACTTTTAGTACAGCGGAAGAACGCATATGTAAAGACTTGTAGCGCCATCTAGATGTGCTCCTGTAAACTGCTTCAAACAATCCAAGGCGGGTATTCGGTCAAGCCAATCCAAAGCCCCGATTCTCCTCGCTTTGTTACGGAAGTGCGTGTTTCCGTGTGCCTGTTGTGTACGTGTTTTGTCTTTTTTTTTTTTGTACCGACCGCACGGTAAACACGTTTGTACCGACCGCACGCCAACGTTCTTGGCTATCGACACTCATCTTTGTGGGTGCTCGAAAGGGTTTGTCGCGTTGACTTCTTTGAGGAGGTTGATGTCATTTTTAATGGTAAAGCGAACCCATACAATGCGCGTAACACTTCCGCTGGTTTGCCTCACCGCCGCCATTTTTCAAACTGGACTAGTCTCGCGCTCTCCCGTGCACGACGAGAGCAACGAGATGGCTCGCAAGGGGCCGCTACGTACGTTCGCAAAAATCGATAGCGAGCATACATACGCAAGGCTCGCCGCAGTGTGGCGCATGCGCAGTGTGGAGGACGCAACGTTAACAAATGGGGTCTGCGTTTGCTCCTATACATATTACCAAAACTCTCTAATGTCTACTATATTTTGTGCCAAAGCCGCATTTTTAGTGAGAATTGCGCCACACCCTCGGTGGAAGATAGTGTTCGGAGCTAGCCTCGAACCAGGAGTGGTTAGTTCCACGCCGCTGCGGAGGGTACTGCAGTATGGGGTCCCTCCTCGGCAGCCACGGTGCCAGCGGCGTAGCGTGCTCACCTTTTTCACGGTGTGGTGGTGTGTGGCCAGCGGCTGGCCTCGTGTTTTGCTTTGGTGCTGTGTCGATCACAGGTGCCACCATCGTGCACGAAGATGAGCTTTAATCCGAAGAAGCCATGTTATAAGAATGGGAAAGCAATGCTTCGTTCCCAACTGCAGTTAGGGGTACCAGAACTGTGCAGAGCGAGTGCCCTTGGTTCAAGCTCCATCGAATGACGCTCGGCTGGAGCAGCGGTGGAAGACAGTTTGGGAGGGACCCCATACTTGGGCCACATCCTATCCCTGTGCGAGTGAAGCCTGGAGCACTGTGGAAGAAACACAGTTTGGGGGGACCCCATGCCTGGGCGCCATCTATCCCTGTGCGAGTGAAGCGCGCTCGGTGCCCGAACATAATGTGGCCACTGCGTCGGACGGAGAGTCATCAGCCAAACGTATTTCTTTCACTGTGGCCACACTTGTGCTAAGGTAGGCTTGAACAAAGAATTTTTTGTTATTGGTTCATTCCAATATTTAGAGAAGGAAACAAAAATGGTACAAATAGGTGTTTTATAGCATCTCTACCCGCCTTATAGTTTGTTTAATGTTGGGTCGAAGCACAGTTGAACGTTCAGACACACTAAAAGCGCAGGTCACGGGACTTTAGCTGCACTTGATTTGTCTAGCTGATGAAAAAGCATGTAATATAGTGCTGCCACAGCTACCAGTCCGAGCTAACCCGTGCTCCTGGCTTTGAGACGTGTATTTCTGTTGCGAGCGCTCATTCTGCGGAAGAATGTCGCCTGCGCTTTGAGTTTAAATGAAACAAAGTAGATACTTCTCGACAACCACCGTCCTGACATTCGTCATATTCCGTCATCGTCTGAATTTCGAGCCAATGTCTGGCGCTAAAAGTCGCGAGAAAAATTTGCAATATAGTGGTACGTCGGCTACTGTAAGAACACAGTACCCAGGGTTCTTTTACTCCTAAAGATATCACTTGATTATCATGTCTGCCACATGCCTTTATGTCCTGGCTACAGTGTACCGTGGCACTTCCGCCACTGGCGTCAATCTTCACGGCCTCGCACCGGTGCGCGCACTGCGAGCTTCACTGCTTTGCACCGAGGTGCTAGGAGCAGCGACTGACATAGGGAAGCGCATGGGTTAGTGTGCTTGGCTCGAAAATTATGCTCAGTTAATTTACAAGTCGACCATCTTTGTTTTGACATCCAATTTTCAAAAACTGTCCCCCAAATGGAAAAGAAAGTCTATATTAGTATAAATACGGTAGTCAAATGAAAGGGCAGCAAACTGACTCGACTCTTGTTCAAACGCCACTAAAGTGTAGTGTCAATTTTAATGCACAACTGTAGGTTTTCATTATATTGGCTAGTTATTTTGCAGTTTACGATATGAGGACCTTGAGTATGGTGCTTGTAAATATTGGGGAACATATCTTTATTGATAGACGTTTCAGCAGATGTGCTACTTTTTGCCGGCATTTTGCCCGAATTCTTTTTGAAGGCTAAATTAACTAGAAAGTGTAAAAGGGGAGGGAAAGAGGCTTTATCTCGACTGAAATGTTGAGCTAAACTTTGCTTTTCAACCATTTTTTAATACCCATTGTAAATGGATGCCACTCTGACCCGAACCTTATTTCTAAAACGAAGTCTGTGTTCCTTTTGCGTCCTATCTATTTTTACTGCAAAAGGTAATAACTAATATGCTTCATTATGAAAGAGGAGCTCTCTGTCATCACCAGATATGAACTTGTTCAGCAACCCAATTGCATTTTCATTTTTAAGTGATCTGCTCCAAATGCGTTGCTGGCCGCTTCAAACCAACATTCCGTCTGCTACAAAACCTGCAATAAAAAGATCAAATGCCGCTTCACCCACTGAGCTGTGCAAGGCTGCAACCATAGCTGACCTTCCCATTTTGTTTCCTTTTATTCAATTCACTTTGGTTCACTGTCACTACTACCGTAATATTCCAAGAGATAGCCCACCTAAAATCAAAAGCAAGTCAGGTAAAAATAAGGAGCCAACTAACTTTCGGTGAGCGATCAAAAAAAGTTGCGAAAATGCTACTAGTTTTAGATTTCGTGGCCTGCGAAACTCGTGATTGCAGGGAGGGGCGATGAACCAGGCGACTGTCCTTCGGGTATCTCCCGTCGTGAAGATACCCGAAGGCACCATTGGCCAGGGCCCTGGAATTACTGGAAGTAAGCTATCTTTTGTTGTTCTTAAAACAATAGGGGGCAGGTTATCTTTTGAGGGTGAGGCATCTCTCGTGATGTTACGGTAGTCCCAAAAAGGTTACTGCTTTTCTATACACCTTGGTGTTCTCATTGAAACGGGCTTTGTGCAGGTCTATCATTGTTGGTCTCGGCAGCTCCCAGTACTGAAGCAAACGCGTGTTGCGTCTCTAATGCACAAGCGGATCTGAAATTTCTGGATGAGCCCCACTCCTGCGTGCGATGCATCGCCACTCTTTGGCGTGCATGTAGTGTGGGGGGTGCACCCACAAATTAGAACACCGCCACCGCCGTTCTGTTGCTTCGCTCACTGTCTGCAAGACTGCAATCTGTACTGCCTGGTCATTGTATTGCCGGCCACTGTATCTTGCTGCTGGTTTAGGCATGTGTTCTTTGAACGAGTAATTTTATCCAGACAGATTGTGGAAGGTCTTCCTCTGGATAAATGTAGAGGTGCACAACAATGATTGCAGACCAAACTGTGCCAGTAATAGTTAGCATTTATTTACATTTCCTCTATAGTGTTCACTCAAACATTTATTGGCTCTGCTGGTATGTACATCCTCTTGGAGACGTAAATCTTCTGATTCGACAGCGTCACAGCATAGAAGTAGTTGCCGAGGTGAACTGGAACACAATGGCAGCAATTCAGCGGCAGTAAAGAACTGCATGACCATGGTTGGAACAAAGCGATTGGTCTCAAAAACAAATCACTTGAAAGACAGTAAGCGAGCTAAAATTGTACAGTCGAATCTCATTAATTCAAGCTTGCTGATAATTCAAACTAATATGCAGGTCCCATCCTATGCATCTCTATGGGAGGAAACTCCCAGTAATTCTAACTTTGCTTTATTCAAACAAATTTTCGGTCCCCCTTGAGTCAGAAGTAACGAGATTCGACTGTACTGTTTGTTAAGACAGGGAAGTGAGTCGTCCCCAATGGACATCTGGTATCTCCACTGTAGATTAGAAATATTGCCAGTGCAGTATGACCACGAACCTGGGATCTAAGGTGTAACACGCGGTAGTGATGCACAACCGCACACCGGTACAATGCTTGTCCAGATCGAAACGGGCATTTTCTTGAAGCTTCGGCTCGGAAATCAAGCCCCGTTCATACACTTGCAACTCCTTACGACCGAGTGCCTTGAAACGTCTGAAAATCTCTTACGACGAGAGGATGCACTGTCGCCACCTATCAGGTGGCAGTGGAACACTTGGCAATCTTGTATATTTAACTTCTTTTTTTTTTTTGTGCATTCTTTTTTGACTTGATAAGCTTTTGTCAATGTTATAAACGACCATTTCTCATAGGTAGTATGCACATTTGACCTCGCAAATAGTGCAAAACCTTAGTTATAGAGAAATGCAGTTTTAGGGTCACCGCATAGATGGCGCCAGCGTGTTCACTCGACGTAAAAGATTTTAAGAGGTTTTAAGGCACTTGGTTCTAAAGCGCCGTTCATACACTTGCAACCCAGTAGGACTGAGAGAAACGAGACCAGTTTTTAAGCCTCTTGTGATGGCATAGGACCAGATGCGCTGCTGCGGAGCAGGTCCTACGCTGTTGTAAGAGGCTTAAAAACCGGCCTTATCTTTTGGTTGTACTCAGTTGCACATGTGTAAACGGGCCTTAAGGAGTCCTGAGTGTGTGAACGGGCCTTTAGGACTAAACGTCGTTTGACAGTGGCAGCTGTTACGGTCCCATCCCTCCGGTTTCACGACAGCGTAAATGAATTGAGGTTTCCCGCCAAATTTAGTGGAAAACTTTACGTCACGTGACCCATCCACTAATTCAGTTTGCTTATTAAACTTTGCGGGAAATTGATGTCATATGAGCTTTGCACCAATTCAGGTTCCTTGCTAAATTTTGGTGGAAAAATTGATGTCGTGTGACCTCTGCACTGAAAGACCATCTACCGAATTACCCGAGCATCAAAAAGATGTAAGTACAAGTGCTGTGCATGCTTCCATCTTCAGCTCTAGCTGTTCTAAAGCAAAAATCTAGAACATATGGCACTTTGCATGCGCGTTCCAGAGACGCTTTGTTTTGGTTATTTACTTAGAATTTTTTCTACAGGGAAGGCGAGCATGTGCAGCACGTGAACCTATGTTCTTAACATTCTCTTTGATGCTTGGGTAATGTAGTGAAAGGTCTATTCAGTTTCGCTGCTAAATTTGTTGGGAAAATTGATGTCATCTGACGACGTTATGGGACCTACAAACAAAAAATGAAAGACGTTTACAAATCTTTGTAATGCGAAATTGAAGTGCAGCTCTTGAAGAGAAGGGGAGGGTACAAAGAAGAGGGTATGCCCCTCCTCCTCCTCCTTCTTACCCTCCTCTCCTCCCACTGAATTTGCTCATGGGTGACGTGACACCAAGTCATGGGACGTCATTTTCCCGGTTAAACTTAGTGGGTAAGCTGAATTGGTGTAGGGGTCCCATTTGACGTCAATTTCCCCGCTAAATTTAGCAGGGGAATTGACGTCATGTGATCTCAACACCAATTCAGTTTTCCCGCTAAATTTAGCGGGGAAACTGTGACGTCCCGTAATGCAATGCGCGCGGTTATGTTGACGGTACCGCCGCTCAACCCGGAAACGGGTGCCCAAGAACTGTGCTAGAAAACAGCTTCCCTGCTAAATTTAGTGAAGAAATTTACATCCGCGGCCTATGCACCAATTCAGCCTCCCTGACAGATTTGGCGGGAAAATTGATGCCGCGTGACCAGACGTCACGGGACCTGAAAACAAAAACAGCTTCCCCGCTAAATATAGCGGATAAATTTACATAACGTGACCTATGCAGCAATTCAGTTTTCCCGCTATATTTGGTGGGAAAATTGATGTCTCGAGACTTATGCACCAATTCTGTTTCCCTGCTAAATTTGGCTGGAAAATTGATGTCACATGACCCGACGTCACAGGACCTACAGACAAAAACAGCTTCCCCGCTAGCGGAAAAATTGACGTTGCGTGACCAATGCACCAATCCAGTTTGCCCGCTAAATTAGGCGGAAAAATTTTGGTGACGGCGTGAGTGTAAACTAAAATAATTACAGCGGCAGCTGCGAGTGGCGCGTCCCCCGTTTTCGTCACAACTTGAGCGTAAATGAAAATAAACAAAAAAGCTGCCTCTGTCTATACACATTATGCCGTCTGATCGTCAAACAACTTTTAAAAAACTGAAAAGAAAAAGTTTTTTTTCTTCAAACAGTCTGGTTGGGACATGCGTGTCAAAAAATTAATTTTACGCGAAAAAAAAAAAAAAATTTAGTGCAATATTGACGGCGCCAGACGCGACTTAGTGGGCAGTCACCTCCTTTCCACTTGTTTTCTCTCGGCATTTTGGGCACGAGAGGTGGATCAGCTTCACCTTCACGCTGAGGTGGAAAGACCGAAAGACCATCTCGTTGGGCAAATGACCATTCCGTGACGTCATGGACTTTACACGCAGAATTTCAAACAAATCTCAGCGTCAATACTGCTAAAAAAAAAAAGGTTTTTTTTTTGGCATAAAATTAATTTTTTGGCATATGCGTCCCAACCAGACTGTTAAAAAAAAAAAAGTTATTTTCTTTTCAGGGGCTTTTTAAGGCAGATTTCTGCTTCAGTAGTTTTACACCATTCGCATTTGAGCAAAAACAGCCTTGTGAAAAAACGTAGGGTTCCTCGCATGGGCTGCGTCAAGATAAGATTCCCTTTGATTGTAAGCTCTGCTACGTGGGCCAGATGGGTTGGTGTGTAAAGGACCGCCTCTTGGAACACAAAAAAGTGCTAGAGATAGCTGAATGTAATGCATGCTTGCTATATGGGAAGAGGCTTTAATCCTGTGCAAGGAGGCGATTCTTTCAAGAGTCCATAGTTTTTAGCAAAAACGCTAGAGAAAGTTCCTTCTGGGTTTTTGTTGTTGTCGGGTTGGTCGGAGGGAGTGTGGTCTTTTGCTCGATTCACATAGCCTTGACGGGGTTTATCTTGTCGGGTAAATCCCCACCCCTGCCCGTTTCGATCTGGATAAGCATCGTGCCCGCATGCGGTCGTGCACCACTACTGCGTGGTGCACTTTAAAGACTCCAGGCAAGCGGTTGTACTGCACTGGCTGAATTTCTCATCTACTGCTGGGAGACTCGTCGCCCGTTGAGGCATACTAAGTTCTAGGCTGTATAAACATACACACAACCCAATTTGTTTTTGTCGGGTAACTTGGCGGCGGGTGTCTGTTGGTGGTGTGGTGTCTGGGTGGAGGTCAGTTAGTCTGAATCAATTCAGCCAACTTTGTGGCGGCTTTTTTTTTTTTTTTTTTTTTTTTTTCTCTTTCTTTTTGTACATACGGACGGATACACGAATTGCGTTTGAAATTTCGTGTCGTCTTTTCCGCAATTTTACTTCTCCTTGTCTCTGGGTTTAGATTACATTTCCCTTTAATTTTAGGCAGGTAATTTTTATGTAGAAAGGCTGTTAGACTGCTCGCTGCAAGTGTTTACTTTTTTTTTACCTTACAGAAAGTCAGAGACCTTGCACTCGTGTGCCCAATGTGCCTTTTCCAATAAAAGCTCGAATTCATAAGTAAATATATCACGAGCTGTGAAACGCTTACTAGACATTCTGTTGACGGGATCTCTGTTGTCGGTTGGCATCAGGTCGCTCTTGTCCGCGCAGTAGACCATCTTGTGAATGATTCCACCGATTCTCTCTTCATTCTCCAGTTCACCTCCAGACTACGAAAGAGAACGCAAGTTTGTAAACATTCTTTCCCGCAGATCGCTTGCGTTGAAAACGATGGTTGTCGTACGACGTAAACAAACTTACGCTGATGACACCTCCGTCGGAGTTCAAAATAAGGAACCCAACTTGGTCCGGTATTTTCTCCATCCACCCGTGCATCATATCAACACAATAAAGGGCCGCAGAAGGCTGCGTTTAGAGGTAGTACAGGTACAGTTTCTTAAATATGAACTACAACCGAGAAAATTCAGATTCGATAACGACAGTCCAAGACAGCCCCCCTCAACTGCAGCCGGAAATTGAATGACAGGAAATGGATGATGACTAGTTTATAATCCTTGAGTTTAGTCGTAAAATCATTTCATATAATATTTTCAATACAACTAAAATGTAAGAATAAACGTTTTTGGACAACTAAAAGTTTAATTTTTTTTTTAAATTGTTTTGCGTATTTGTTTATGTTTTTGAGCTCGTGACGCAATATCCGCTTCCGTATCCGCTGAGGAGAGGTGTGTTTTTGTGGCTGGTCGCGGAAAGTCACTTGGTCAAAATCGGGAATTTTTTGAGCGTTGTTTCACTAATTAACGTAGTTATCGCGGCGACGCTCAGTTTGAGAGGTTTTAAACCACGTCAATTTTCAGTCCAAAATATGCCGCCTCTTAGGAGAAAAAGGAACGGTCCTCCAAGTTACTGAAGCACGGTATGAGGCTAGAGGTTTCCCTGCTGCGAAATGTTCACTTGTTGTGTAGACACGCTGGGAGCAGGCAGATACATCTGATTCGTGCCGCCGAAGGAGACCGTTATGGAACTAACGGACTACACGTTCGACACACGCATCAGGAGGAGGCACATTCCGCTGCTCAGTCACCAGGTAAATGCCGTGTAAACTCGTGTAAACTCAGTGACTCCAGCCGTGCCTGTATGTTTACTACTTCAAACTTTGCTTCAATCTCTTTTTTCACAATCCTGCAATGTCGTGTTTTTGTTGCCTTGGTTTCCTCATAGCAGAATGCTCATAAGGGGCTAACCGTGTTTGCTTTGGTTTGCTGCACAACGTATGTCGAGATCCGTTCTGTATCCGACATGTCACAGCGCTTTGATATGAATTTATGTTGGTCTTATAGAGACGACTAAGGCACCTTAATGCCGTGCTGGCGCGAAACATCACCTCGGCAGAGATTTCGGAGGACGACAACTTCGGACTGTTGTACACCATTCATCTGCACAAGGACGACGGTGGTAAGCGTTTCACGTTGACTTGGAGGCGTCGTCGTGGGCTCCTCGCTCTCCGAGTGACCCGGTCTTGTTTTTTAACCTCGTCTTACAGCTATTTATACCAGTGAGACGTCGGAAGGGAACCTGGTAAGCTGACAGTGTCTGCATGTTTGCCAACTAAACCTTTTTAGGTTGGCTTGCATCTCTACTAGCGTTTTGCCAACTTCCACCATTAATTATTCTGTTTTCTTTCTCTTTTTAAACACTGTAGAATCCCATTTGGCAGCAACTGCAGCTCTCGAAGTTCAACAGCCTGAAGAGTAACTCCTCAGCATGTATCCTTTGGCACAAAAATCTTGATATGGCATCAGCTGCCCGCATAGAGATCATACATACTAACTCTAGAGGAAAAGGTCCGCCATTTTCCCATGCATTCTGGTTGCCGCAAGCGGCGGAGTATGCAGGCAGACCCTCGAGGTCCCACATGGTTACCAACTGCCTTCGATTTCACAAATATATCATCAGAGCAGTGTGATGAACTTCAACAATCCACAAACTTACCAGTGGAAAGATATTCGCGTTCCTTTCGAAGTTTTCTTTTTGCATAGCGCGCACATGTACGGCCTAGAGTCAACGCTAAACTAAACCAGATACCCGGCTTCGCCGGTGGGGCGCGGGGGGGCACGGTTGAGGAATACGAAACCGCGCAACCACCAGATTTCCGAGATTTCGACAGAAGGAAAGTTACTGCAGCGTAATGACTATATTGCTTTTTATAAGCGTTAGAATAGCTCAGAATTTAGTTTACAACGTTAAATTATCACTGTTTATATTGCTGAGAGTTTTCAGTCTTCGCGTTTACCATTGCGACTGTCGTCCTTCAGCTGGCAACGTTGCTTTCTTTCTCTCGTGTTCTGTCGCTCTCTTTCGCGATCGTTCACTCGGGACCCAGGATGTCGACGCACGGGATTTGCCACTCCTCCTCACCCACCTTTACCCCCGTGGCTGCCCGTAACACAGCGTTGCCAGATTGGAAAGATGGTTCGGCACCAAATTCTGGCCGAAATTTCACCAGATTTCACCAGCACTAAAATATTGCGTCTATTACGTATTTCCAATTCCTTCAGCTTTTTTACGCATGCACTCGCAAAGCGTTGCTTTCAGGAGGTTCACTAATATAAAGCATCGCAGCACAATAAAAAAGGAAGAAAGCAGACATGTGGCGCATTATCAGCATTGTTACTCTTTAATATACCATGTTTATGAGATGTTGGTGCTGGGTAGTCCTTAGACGGAAAATTCAAATTAATGAAGGCCACCGACACGTAAGAAAGACCACATAATATTGTACTTGAAGACACTCGCAGTCTAAATTAAGCATACATTCTCTGCTCAGCAGTAAGAAAAAAAACCGCATAAGAACGAAGTGGAAATATAACACCACGATAAAGTTCAGTTCATAACAGCTTTTGAAGTCAAGCTTCAAGAAAAAAACTGATAAGCATGACATCTAGTCAGATAAAACTTCACACAAAGTCCAGTCACACTGGCACGGACTATCTCTTGACACATAAAGCACATCCATCGCTGATATCCATAAGAATATGGAACATAAACAAATAGGTTACATAAATACACTAATAAAACGGTGTAAAATTGATTAATGCAAGTGACAAGCCATTTCTCAAGATTTTTCACCAGTTTTCACCAGATATTGTCTGGTGTAGCTGTTCTGGTACATCAACACCAGGAGCCCCCCAATTTCACCAGCCGGATTTCATTATCTGGCAACGGTGCCGTAACATGCTCAATTTTTCCAAATTGATGTCATATTGATTTTTGGAGTGTCAGTTACGTAGTGCCATCTGTTGACGGCGCTGAAAATAAATAAATTAACGAAGCAGTCAATAGTCAGTTTAAAATAAATGTGCCTCTTAAATACCAACCAGTGGCTTTACTTCTGGCCGTCAATTTAAGCCTTGGCATTTATCCTGCCCTTTTAAAAGATGTGCCATTGCCCATCTGTTGAGTAAAGGCAGAAGCATTTGGCTAAGTCGCGAGGGCTTGCGTTGAGTTAAGAGCTTGAGTCACAGAGGCATCTTCGAGGAGTAACTTTGCATTCGACATACGAAGCACAGATGTCCTGGTGGCTCAAGCTTGTAACACAATGTAACGTAAGAAAACATAGTTGAAATCTACTATGTGAATTGTCCTCTAGGCATATGGTTGTAGTCACTGTGTTCGGCTTTCGTGTCAGTTTCAAGGTTGCTCGACTTCCCCAACGTCCTTGACTTTGTCTGACAGCGTTCATTATCAGAGTCTGGATGGTCAAGAAAGGTGTCACCACTTGCTTGATTGAATGGGATGTCAACCTGCGAGGTCTCTCGTTCCTTGGCGAACAGGCAAGACTTTTCCCTAGTAGCTTGGTACTTTACTTGTAGTACATGGGAAATCTGAGGCTGAGGCTTTCCTTGACAAATAGAAACTCCTCCACTGAAAGAGGGGGGGAGGAGGAGTTTACAGGTTTTTTAAGCTTTTCAGTTTTCAGTTAATATCTTTTTGGTTCTCTTTGAACCATTTAATAATAATAGTTTATTACACATTCATTCGTGTGCAATGATTTCGATGACCCATTTAGGTGCATGAGCACTTGTGTGTGGGATTTCTTGTATTTGATGATCTTTATCAGTTTGGTTCAGCCTTGCTTCAGCTTGAAGCTGCTGCTCAATTTCAGTTTTTGCATGAAGGTTATATCTTTTATTCAGCTGTTTTTTTTTTTTTCTTTTTTTTATTAACCGTTTTAATGTGCTGGGTAGGTCCCAAAGGACGGACGGAAGTTTCTTCCCAACACGCTTCTCTTCTCCATGCCAGAAGGCATCTATGGACCGGGGGATTGTGTCGTCAAGGTACTGTGGCCTTTGTTCAGAAATCAGAATGAAAAAAAAAAAAAAAACTTTCCCTTTGGCTTTGTCATTCATTCGCACTATGCTGTCTGCAGAATTTCTTGTGTTAATGCTGCTATCTGTGGTAACGGTGTAGTTGACGTCGGATTCTCTAATACATGTACAGGTCAGAAACAATGTTAAATAGTATACAGAATATGTAGAACATTTCTCTGATGTTATATTGAAATGAAAGTGTATAAATTGGTGCTTCAAAGGGACCATGAAGGCAATGTGGAAGCTTTAATTGATGATTGAAATGGGCTTCAGGCAACTCTCGTTAGAGGGAGCAGACTCTGGAGCCGCGTCGAGGAAGGCTGCTGCCATTCTGGCTGCTTGTTGTTTATAAAGTATTATATTATACTTGAACCCCGAAGTATCTGAAGTACATAACAAAATTCAACCGAAAACCGTTAGTGCTCCTCAACGTCACGTCCGAAAGTTTGTTTCGGTTTATCAAATTTATTTGGAGGCACAAATATAAGAGCCACGGAGTTATATACAATAAATTTTAGTGGCATGCTAGGATCTTAATGCGTCCGAAAACACCTTTTTTTAAAAAAATTTGAAATTGCCTTTATGGTTTAAAGACTTTGGGCTTGTTCTGCATAGTGACAAGATGCAGCACTATCCCAGTCGTTGCAGTCTAAAGCTTCTCTCTTTATTTTTTTTTTTCAGCTGAGCTTCTTTATTTGCTTCTGCATATTCTATTTGTCATGAAAAATAATTATTTGTTAGTAATTTTTTTCAAGTTGAATGTTGTTAGAGCAGTAATAATAGTGGTGATAGCAGTAGTAGTAATAGTAGCAAAAACAGTTGTATAAGTAATGCAGAGATTTGACACCTGATTTTTCCAAAGTGTTCAAGACAGGAGTTGTTACTTATGTATGGGTTGTTGCTGCATTGATAGTAGGTGCATCCAACTTTTCAGGGGCCAAAAACTGACCATCCTGGCCACAACGCTTTTGAAGTCTTGTACTCGGATCCTTCCATTGTCAGGAATTCCTGCACAGTGAACACCTTAAGGAGGTTAGAAAGTCTTGACCACTACATTTTTACTCCACTCTAATTTTTTTATCTCTGTTTTACATGTGCAGATGTTTCGTAACTTCCAACTTCAGTTTCCTCGATTTATTTATCGAATTATCCCGATTTTTCTGGCACTGAGGGGCAAAGGAACACGTTTGAAAATTCTAATCACCTACAGCCACTTAACGTGATACCTTATCTTAAAGAACATTGGAGATAGCAGTAGCCGACATGAAGTAGAATGATTTGTACCGTTGTGATCGCTTTACAACGTATAATGCCAATGAAATTACAACTACCCAGGGACATGCTGGTGATGTTATGAACCATACATAACTCTATAATGTGGTGGAAACACCCACTATTGCAAGTTATTGCGTAGTCAAAAAGGGAGTCGCGGGCTACGTCCCTTTGTTTTTGCATCCTGGTTTTTCTATTGTCCATTTAATGGCTCACGTGATCGTTTGGGTAACCCGGGGACAATTGCCTCATTTAGAATCACGTTTGCTGCCTGTGAATAATGCGATATCTTTGTAGAAGTATTCAGATGATTTTTTTTTGTTGTAGAAATAGAAAGATAATAGAACGAAGATGACTGGAGGCCGAAAGACATCACTAAAAATTCTTAATTTGGCGTTTCGACAATGACGGCAAGTATACCGTGACTCTTGCAGGATGATGACGACGGAGCGTGCCATCAAGCAGACACAGGTGTCGGTGTCGCGCGTGAGGCGCGCAATCGAGAAGAAGCTGCAGCAGCGGGTGCGGCTGCACAGGAGCAGGGCCCGAGAAGAGAACCTCAGATTGCGGATATCTCTTTTAGAACAAGAGATTGTGCAACGGCAGTCGAAACTCGAGCAGGAGAAGCTTGTCTGCCAAGCCAGAAACAAGGAGCAAGCAGACAGAGGTGCGAGACTAGCCTTTACGGCATGTTTGAAAAATAAGTGGTTTCCTGGAAGACTGCAGAGCAGTGGGCGTCATTTTGACTGGGAAGTTGGCTTTACTCTTGGAGAACCTAAATGCTGGCTCTCTTGAGACCCTGGTATGCTCTGTTTTATGTTACAATGAACCACGGAGAACGCTACAAGCCATAGAAGCCGATGAAGTGCCGCGATAGTGACGTGACTCTTAGAAGGGGCGCGTGCAGCAACGTTGGGAGCTGCTTAATCACGTTATACGTTCACACAGTGCTAGATTGTCTTTGATGGCTTGTGGCATCCCTCTCCTGTGGCCCACGGTAAAGTGAAGCAGAGTGTATCCCGCAGTTGGCTTTTATGGGTGCTCTGAAAGTACACGTAATTGTGACGTTTTATAGAACAGCGTTAATCCTTGACATTTATATTGTGAGTTACAAAAGGCACGCACATGTTCTTGTTACCAGCAGAGGGTTCGAAGCATGTTGATACTTGCAAGCTTTGGGGGCTGTGCCTGAAATTACCATGTCTGTCTGCCATGCCCGACAGTCTTGCCACTGTGGCAGTGCTGCTGTGGACATTGCGCGTGCGCCGACACTTCTCTCCTGGATCTGGTTCGTACATGCGTGCACTGCCCATACCTGGTGGAATCAAATGTGTGGAAACAATTATAATGCAATTAAATGCAAAGGGGCAAGCGAGCTAGAGAGGTCCCGGGTTCGATACCTTGACCAGGTGGATTTTTTCGGTCGCTCACCAGTCACCTAGCTGTGTTTGGAGATTTGTGTCTGTCCTTTGTCCCTTTGTTCCTTTTCTCCAGGGATTTTTTTCGTCATGTGTGGAAACAGTTGTTGGTGCATCTTTAATTTCACAATGCTATAGGCCAGATGCCTGACCCAAGCAAATGGGCATTTTTAACAAAAAAAAAAAGGAAAGTAGATATGATTGCAATGCAACGAACCACACAATAAAAAAAAGAGATTAAAAGCAAAAAAATAAAATTTTATATTTTTAACAAAACATAATGAATGCTGCACAAAAGCAATGTTAATGTGTAAAATGCTGTTCTGGGGCCTGTTTTAAATCGGGTGATCGAAAAATGTCTTTCGAAAGAGAGTTCTACTATTTGGATAGGGTATGAGGAAAAAAACTACCGTAATATCCCGAGTCATCGCCCATCCCCGAGCCATCGCCCACCCCATTTTTTGGGCCAATATCGATTTCCGAAAAAAACACCGAGTCATCGCCCACCCCTTCAAATACCCCAGCGCGGACTCTGCGATACGCGAACACTCATCCTACCCGAATGACGAGGCCGCGGACCTTACAGTTGGAGGACGTCCGTGACAAAGTAAAACGAAGGAGGGAAAGATACTTCTATTTGTTTACGCATTTCCTCCGTGAGCGACCCCAAAGTGGTCGTGTATCCGCGCGAAAAGAAAACGATGGAGATAAAAAATAAGAGTTTGTTAACGTAACCGTGGAGTGTTAGGTCAAAGTCTGTCTCCGCCGAAGTAAGGTCACCGCGAACCCGCTCCTTCTTCCCGCCTGTCGCGACCGCGGTTGTGCAATATTTTAGGCAAAGCCAAAGCGTAAATAAAGCTTTGCTGAAACGTCCTACACAGACGTTTGCAGAGCGTCCCAACCGTGCACTGATAGCCCGCCGTGCACGGACGCACGTATGTACGCGGCAAACAAGAAAGTTGCGCAAAAAAGGCGCCCGACTTGGCCCGACGCCAAAGTATTTGCCAACCCGACCGCCGGCTTTCCCGCTTTCCCAGCATTGCTCTTGGTCGCTTCTTTAGTCCGCTCGCTCGCTCGCTGCGCCTGGTCGGTTTTTCTATTTTCTTGTAGACTTTTTTTTTTTTTTTTTTACTAACTAGAAGAACATAATGGTGACATTCTTTCACGGAACAAACGTTCGTGCTATATGCAGATCGGCGGTGTTTCTAGCGCGTATGCAAGCAACGGACTTCGCTATAGTAAAATATTCTTTCGTGAGCATTTTTTTTTTCTATAAAACAATGAAACTAAATCGAGTTTTGAGTTTGATGTATCTCTTGTGCATCAGCGCTAGATACGCAGAGAAAAATAGGCGGTTTTTTCCGCTTTTTTTCAAGTGTTTGTGCTCACCCACCGAGACATGGCCCACCCCACTTTTTTAACGAATTTCAGGTGGTTGGGGGGTGGGCGATGACTCGGGATATTACGGTACAAATTTGTTTTTGCGAAAATGGATTGCAGTGAATGCTCCCCGGTGTGACATGTTCTAAGAAATGTGGGTGAAATCGTGTTGGTTTTCTGTGACAATATGTTGTAAAAAAATAATATGCAGCTTATTTGTCTTTATAATTATGGAGATGGAATGTTGTTGTCTCTCACAAGTTTAGTTTGCGAGTCTAGTCTCATATTTACCTAAAGACGAATTGAACGGCCTTTCTTTCAAGTTGTTTTTTGGTATACAGGTCCCATATGTCTGATGCGTACTTGAGTTTAGACACAAAAGTGTTGTGTGCCAGATGCTTAGTGTTATTAGGGGCGTGTTTGAGTTTTCTCTTTAGAAAACACTGCATTGCAAATGTAGAGGAACAAATGTCTAAAATCTGTGTTATCCTAGGTCAGTTGTTAGTAAAAGTAGCACCAGGGTACTTATATGTACAGTCAAACCCACATTTATTAAATACAGGGGGATTGCAAATTTGTGTGATATATCCCTAATTCAATGTACAAATGTGTGTTAACCTCCCATGCCTTTGCCAACACTGAAGACCGTCAAAAACGGGAGCATATCAAATGGCCCATCCATGAACTGCGAAAAACGGTAGAATCCTGTTAAAGCATGGTTAAAGTGTTAGCCGCGGGTGGTGCCTCGCTTGCGTGCGGGGCCACGACCTCAACAGCACGGGCCACGAAATACGAAAACAATAAACGAAGAAGAAAGCTGAAGATTAAAAAAAAAGTAGGATGCATAAAAAAAAGGCACTCTTCATCCGTAAATGAAAGCCAAACAAGGAACAACAAAAAGTTTGTAAAATAAGTAAAAACAAGAAGAAAAAAAAAATGCAGGAAAAAAATAACCCAGCTAAAGGCTTTCCTTTTATTTGGGGGCTAAGGAGTGAAGGTGGAGTGTCATTTGTCCCCGCTGCCTCCTTGCCTCTTTCTCTACCCATGGTCGGAGCTAGAGGGACTGCTGGTGCGCACTTTGATGTGCCTTCGTTCAATTTCGGCAATATAGTTATGGAACACTGCATGGTCTTCAGCAGGAATAATTTCCTTAAAAAAATATGATCGTTAGCAAGGAATCTTATTGACAGAAACTGAGAAACAATTTAAAATTAAATCATTTATAAAAATTAAAAACAGCCATGGTCCTACTAGCACTCTCTACTGGTATACACTGGACGTAATGCCAAGAATTTCGGAAACAGAACCATTAACATCAACAAACTGTGTTCTGCGTTGTAAGTACTAAGCACCTATCCCATGAGCAAGATCTGAGCTTATAAAGTAGTTTTTTCATATGGAAACTTTCCTCATAAGTAAGATTTCATACTCGAGCTTATAAAGTAGTTTTTTTATGAGGAAACTTGCCTCATAAGTAAGATCTCATAAATAGCTACAGATAAGGAGGAGAGGTGCAGAGAGACATGCTCCGTTGCTCGCGCTCCTATGTTGCAGGAAAAGAACTGGAAAACATTGCGTCGGAGCTCGTTGCAAAGCGGAACAGCCTGGTGGAGCAAAGGAGACAGTACTTCCAAGTGCGCGAGAACCTGCTCAAGGCAAGCTCCATGCTGGCGCTGAGGCAGAAAGAGCTGATATCTGAACTAGCCTTTGTCTATCCAATTGCCCAGGTACCTAATCCCTTTTTGAGGCTTCATTGACGACTCATGCTTTGTGCGTGTGTGAACTGATGTCGCTCTTTCTAGTTTCCAGACAAGAAAGGGTACAGCATATGTTTCGTGCATCTTCCAAATAGTGAAGACTTTAATGGTGAGTGTTAAGAAAGGCGTCTCAGATTTTAATGCAACCACATCCTAAACGTTGACTTGAGTACTGATATTGCCACGTGCTTACGTAGCCGAGATGGTAGCCCGTTTGGCTCACACGCAGTGCCGGGAATCGAACCCGAGCCACCTTCGTGTGAAGTAAATGGACTGCCGACTCCTTTTGTGGCGAACTTGTACCAAAAGAAAATAAGCATGAATGGCAAATAACAAACGTCACAGGCATCGATGACGGTGAAATGGCAGGATTGAGCGCAGACAAAAGGGTGACTTTGGCTCGACGCACGGAGCCCCTTACGTACACGCGTGGAATTCTGGAACAATTGTAGAAGGTTCGACGCATAGAACATATGAACCTCAAACAAGCAACAGAGTTATTGGATTTACCAGAACACAATTACAAAAATAACAAAAAGGTATGTTCACTATACCAGGAATCGAACCTCGGCCCCTTGCGTAAGAACCAAGCAGGATAACCCTTCGGCCATGGTTGTGCTTGCTTGAACACGCGTGTGGCTTTACTCCCCTTTTTAAGAGAGCATTGTCTCTATGCTTTGTACGAGAAAGCAAAACGGAACAATCCAAACAAAAACATTGGGAATCTATGGAAGCTGGTAAAACACGGTCCTATCAAGCATAGTACGGGATCACGGTTGAGTCTCATCGAACGTAGTACGGCTTGAGGCGCACGACGTGGACGACTTCAGGCCGCGGTGGGCGGCGTGATGATATTCTTGTTCCATCAGGTATTACCTTGTAGTTCAAGTCTCCCAGGTGGTGGAGTACTTTGTAGGGTCGAAAGTAGTGCTTCAGGAGTTTCTTGTTTGGACCACGTCGTCGTATCGGGGTCCAGGCCCATGCAGAATCTCTGGGCTTGAAGCGAACGTCGATCTGATAAAGGTTGTACCGGGTAGCGTCGGCACATTGTTGATCTTGAATCCAAAGTCTGGTGAGCTAGTGGAGCTCCTCTGCTCGCTGAGCAACCATGTGGGCATCATCGCTGCTGTCGTGACCAGATTCGTGGGGTAGCATCGAGTCGAGCATCGTCGTCATCTTTCGACCATGCACCAGTTGATGTGGTGTCACTCCTGTGGTCTTTTCCACTGCCGTGTTGTAGGCAAACGTGATGTAGGTAACACCTTGTCCCATGTCTTGTGCTCTACGTCGACATACATAGAGATCATGTCGGTGATTGTTTTGTTCAGCCGTTCTGTTAGTCTATTTTGTCTGCGGTTGGTACGCAATGGTTCAACGATAATTGGTGTTACTGAGACAAGGGATCTCTTGTGTGAACTGGGCCATGAACGATCTACGGTTGGTAATGAGGACTTCGGGGGCGCCGTGCCAGAGGACGATGGACTCAATGAAAAACTTGGCGATTTCAACAGCCGCACCTGATGGAAGGGCTTTCGTCTCGGCATACCGTGCGAAATAATCAGTTATGACAATTATCCATCGGTTTCCTTGCGTCGATGGTGGGAACAGTCCAAGTAGATCCGTTCTGATTTGCTGAATTGGGGCAGATCGCAGTGCAATAAGCTGAAGAAGTCCTGCCGGTCTCGTCGCTGTTTTTTTTCCATAGCTGACGCTTGTGGCAAGATTGGGTGTAGTGATGAACTGTCTTCACAAGCTTGGACCAGTTGTACTTCTCGTGTATCCTGGCAAGAGTCCTGCTGTGGCCAAGGTGTCCCGTCGTCGGGTCATCATAACAGGCTTTAAATCCCTCTTTTCGAAAACTGGAAGGGATCACCAACAGCCACGCCGTGTTGTTGTCGTTGAAGTTCTTCTTGTACAGCAGATTTTGTTGGATGAAGAAAGTTGGTTGTGTTCTTGTAAAAAAGCGGGGAACCGCACTCCTTTGTCCCTCTAGGTGCTCGATGAGTCCTCGCAGTTCAGGATCATCTCTTTAGACTGCTGGCATGTCACTGACATCCAGTGCGCTGAGGAAACTCTCGTCGTCATCGTCTTCAGTGCGGGCAGGACTGTCCTCGATGGGGGCCCTTGACAGACAATCGGCGTCACTGTTTTCGGCTGGACGTGTACACTACGGTGATGTCAAACTCCTGCAGTCGTAGACTCCACCGGGCCAGGCGTCCTGAAGAGTCCTGCAGATTAGCGAGCCAGCAGAGCGTGTGGTGGTCCGTAACCGCTTGGAACGGACTTCCATATTAGTATGGGCAAACCTTGGTGATGGCCCAGACAACGGCGAGGCATTCTTTCTCTGTTGTAGAGTAATTACTTTCCACCTTGGACAGTGTCCGGCTTGCATAGGCGATTACCTACCCGCTCTGTACCCTCCTGCATTCGGACATGCACCGCGCCAAGCCCCGTGTTACTTGCGTCCATGTGGATTTCTGTTTGTGCATGCTGGTCGAAATGGCAAAGGACGGAAAGTGTTTAGAGTCTTCATTTAAGCTCGGTGAAAACCCGCTGGTGCTCTTCTGTCACTGAAACTTTACGGCATCTTGTGTAAGGTATGTCAGTGGTGCAGAAAGCTTTACAAAACCTAGAATGAAGCGTCCGACGGCGGGGGAAATGCGGCTACGGTGCGCGTCTTCTCCGGGTTAGGATGAACACCTTTGCTGCTCAAGACGTGGCCCGGGAACTTGAGCTCACGATAAGAGAACCAACGTTTCGTTGGCTTGAGAGTTAGTCCAGCGGCCTTGATAGTTTGAAGTACAGCCCTTGCCGAGGAAGTAATGACGCACGCTTACGTAGCCAAGTCGGGAGCGCGTGTAAATCACACTCCAATGGCTCAAACTTTTTTTTTTTCAACATTGTTTAACAAGGAGGTTGTGGTTAAGATTGCCATACTTTGTGCATACTATAGGCGGTCCGTATGAGATTTTGCAAGCTGTCCATGCCGCCGACACATCTCGTGAAAGATGCTGTAAAGTTTGGGAGGACAAAAGAGCAGCAACGGTCCTTCGACGAGCTAAAGCAAAGACTCCAGATACCTCCTACCCTTGGACATTTCAACCAATTTGCAGAGGCCAAAATTCACGCGGACGCATGTAATACTGGGCTCAGAGCGGTGCTGGTCCAACTGCAGGATGGCACAGTACGACTAATTGCCTATGCCGGTCGGACACTTTCAAAGGTAGAGAGTAATTACGTGACGACTGAGAAGGAACGCCTTTCTGTCGTCTGGGCGATAATCAAGTTCCGCCTGTACCTGTACGGGAGCCCGTTCCAAGTTGTCGCACACCAGCATTCGCTGTGTTAGCTTGCCAACATTAAATACCCGTAAGGAGGCCTCGCTTGTTGGAGTCTCCGGTTGCAAGAATTCAACATGACCGTCGTGTATAAGTCCGGCCGCAAGCACAGTGATGCTGACTATCTTTCTAGAGCCTGTACCGAGCCAACTCCTGTTAGCACTGTCTACGACAACGACGAGGTTTTCATCGGAGCCATCAACATGAGTGACATGGCAGCTCCCCAGCAGGGAAATCCTCAACTCCGCGGGCTCATCGAGACCAGCAGTCCGCAGAATCTTCTCCAGAATCCTGCCAACCTTTGTGCTGGTAGAGTGTATTCTACAAAGAGAACTTCAGCACCAGCAGCTCGGCCGCGGCTACTGGTGATTTCCAGTAGCCTTCGCCAAGACATTGTCCTAGCCTGTCATGACGATCCTACAGCTGGACACCTTGGATACAGCAGGACACTCGCCAAGATTTGCGAGGAGTGCTACTGGCTCAAGCTCCCGAAGACTGTCCATTTCTACGTCCGATCATGCCATGTGTGTTGACGGCGCCAGAAACCGCCGACCAAGCCGGCAAGACTTTTGCAACCAATTGAGCTTCCGACCACACCAATCCAGGAGATCAGAACGGATTTGCTTGGACCGTTCTCTTCGTCGACGTGAGGCGACCAGTAGAGAATCGTGGCAACCGATTACCTCGTGCGATACGCCATGACGAAAGCCCTTCTGGCGAGAACTGCCATGCAAGTTGCCAAGTTCCTCGTTGAATGCATCGTCCTTCGGCACGGTGCCTTCGTGGTCCTGATCGCTGACCAAGGATCATAGTACGTTGCACAGCTGACGCAAGAAATCTTTCGGCTCAGTCACACCAGCCACTGTCGTACCACTGCATACCACCTGCAGACCAATGGGCTGACTGAGCTACTCAACAAAACAATCGCCGACATCATATCCATGTACGTCGACGTAGAGCACAAGACGTGTGACGAGGTGTTGCCCTACGTTACGTTCGCCTACAACGCAGTGGTTCAAGAGGCCATTGCAGTTACACCTCTTTATCTTTGTACATGGTTGGAAGGTAACGAATATGCTCGACGCGATGCTGCCCCACGAACTAGCTGACGATGGGAGCGACGGCGCCGAGGTGGTTTCTCAGCGGGCCGACGAGTCCGCCAGCTCACCCAACTCTGTATTCAAGACCAGCAACGCTTTGACGCTGGACGTCTACTTCTAGCCCAGAGACAGAGTGTGGGCGGGGAAGCCTATTTGTTGCCGTGGCCTCAGTGAGAAACTGTTGAAACGGTACTGTGGGCCATACAGGGTACCTACTCCGTCGTCTCGTGGAGGTCAACTACGAAGTGTTGCCTGATGGAACGTAAGCATCATCCCGACACCGACTGCGACCCGAGGTGGTTCACAGCGTTCGGCTCGAGCCATTCTACACTCGATAAAACTGCGGACTTCTTGTGTTCCAGACAGAGTGTCGAACCGAAATTTTTATCGGTTCGGTTCGGGTTCGGGTTCACGGCTTTCGGTTCAGTTCCGGTTCAGCTCCGGGGAGTAAAAAATAACGGTTCAAACCGGTTCGAACCGGTTCAAACCGGTTTGAACCGCTAAATTGAAAATTTGTTTTCCGCGGTTTTTTGCAATATGCACTATTTCCGCCGTGAAACGAGTAACTGTATAGTGGTTTATCGTTCGTACAATCTACTTTTATTTTCAGGTACCAAAAATAAGAAATTGCGTTATTTATTTTGACACAACAGTAAAATAGAATCTAGATT